AAAAAGTATAAAACAATTTTCAAAAATATATTAAATAATTTAAATATTTGGAACAAATTAAAATGAATGAAGAAATATGCTATATGTAATTGCAACATATTAATTAGTTTATATTTCTCATTTTGCCAGTTGATGATTGAGTTTTCCATTGTAGTTATTTGAAAAAGAAATGTATAAAACAATTTTTGAATGTGTATTAAATATAATTTAAATATTCGAAATGAATTTCACTAAATGAAAAAATTATAAATGCTATTATAATATTAATTAATATAATTAATATATTAATATAGTTAATATAATTAATTAATATAATTTTATATTACTTAAAATAATTTTTATTCATTCGTGACTGAGCTTTGCGTTTTTTAATTACTTGAAGAACGTCACACTTGACAAAACTAGTTAAAATAACGTTTGTTTCGAAGCATATGGAAACCATATCGTAACCCTCTACATCTAGTATGGTTGTGAATCCTTACTCGGCCTTACTTTAGGTGTCCAAAATGGAAGAACTCTCATGAGGTAGCAACTTCTCATGGACCCTATGTTTCGGCACTCATTCCCCAGTTGAAGCTTGCTAGTATAGTTTCCGTTACGATCGATCGCTCGATCATCTCCGAATCACGAATGTCCGTCGAATTTATCTCGTGATTAACTACACGATTTCGTCCGACTCGATTTCTCTCTCGCTGCTATTTTTGCCAGATAAATTGGATGAATTTTAAATGGCAATGCTAAATTTTAATTACAGTAATTTACAGTGATACGGTATTTAAGAATAATCAAAATTAGAAATCGGATAAGTAATTAATTTGAAACACCATTAGAGCATCGAATTATAAATGGAGAAGTTCTTAACTTCTCTTGCATTCTTTATCGCGAGAACATTTGCTCAAAGTGCGCTCATATTTGACGACGAAACCATGGTGCAAACTAAAATTTGCGTACGCTTTCTTAAGCAAAAATCGCATCTAGTTCGCCATCAAGCCATTGCGAAATTTTCATCTTCGGTTAGAATTAAAACTCTTATGTGATATTAAAAGCTTTCAAGCGTAACACCAAGAAAGCTCTACGCGGACAATCTAGGAGCGGTGTAACTCGCGTATAGGCACAATTTTCGCATCACGTATCGGTTCTAGTGCCAATTAAATTCTCTAGCTCGACTAGCCGGTCGTAATCGTCGTAGGCAGCATACTTAGAGCATCGATCGCGAAAGAAGATATTTATATATATTAGAGACTAGGGATCTCAAGCGGATGACTTTTGTTAAGTTATAGGAAATGTGATTTTCAAATACGACAGAGAACGCCATCATCACGGTCAAAGTTAGATGTTTCGATAATAAATAATACAATATATATTCTCTATTAAATAAATTTATTTTAGTTATGATTGTGCGCTGATAACTTTAGGACTTTCAACTCTATCAGTCTGAAACGCTATTATTCCCCCCAAATTAAATTAGAAAAACTGTAAAGAACTTATGATAAATCTGATTTTGTATTGTAAATGAACTATAAAATCTTTAGAATTTACTCCCCCCTAAATTCTCCCTAAATTAAATTAGAAAAACTGTAAAAAACTTTTGATAAATCTGATTTTGTATTGTAAATGAACTATAAAATCTTTAGAATTTACTTAATCTTCCAACAGTCATAATTTATTCGATTATTATAGATGATTTGCCAATCTAATTTCGTTTCACACAAAAATTATAAGAGTATTGATAATAATGTTTAGTACAATATGAAAGAAAAAATTATAACCACATAAAAATATTTCGTAAAGAATATAATATATTTAATCTCCTTGGATAGTTAATTAGAAAATACATTACTCAAGAAAAAATGCAAGATACAAATATTCACTTGAGATTCCTCTTTAGATAGGTGAACAAATTTTATAATAGTAAATAAATTCAAATAATTTATACGCAAGGGTGATGTAGAGTAAATAACTTAAGCAATTTTAACTGACAATGAGTAACCTAATGGTACACGAATAAACGATGTAATGCGAATTCTATTTCCACACGATTTAGCTATCATGCTCGATCGAAAAATCGGCAGTGCTGTTTGTCTTTAACAAACGAACATTATTCGATAGTTATCTTCACATGTTGTATGCCCTCGTATAATGTTACTTGGCTACTTAATAATATTCGCACTTACTATAGCCGGATATTTATCATGCTATATGATTTCTTTGTCTCTTTTTCTCGCCTCTTTACATATATATATATAAAAAGCTATAATATAAATGAGGAAATACTCTTCGAGACGCTTCCTTTTTCTCTACTCGAAAGTTTTCAACTCGTTTACCGCTTCTTACATAAATCATAAATTGTACATAATATATAAACGGTGTGTATATACAGTATACATATAAATTACATACTCACTCTGCGATATAAACGGACTATTGTATATAAGAGATTGTACGAGTTCGTTTAAAATATATAAAAAGACGTTTTCTGTTAATTCCCGGTATATTATTTTTCCCAGTTTCATATTTCCGACACATTTCTTTAAATACCTTGAGTAAATTTTTATTTTAGATAAATGAATTAATAAAAATAATTTATGTAAAATAAATTCAATAAATTAAAAAAATAAGTTTGATATTTAATAATTTATAGCTGTCCCATCATTTTCTTGATATTTTTAGAAAACTGAAGCCTTAGAAAACGAAAATTTACAATCCATAATATTTTTTTATCTATCACTGATGGACAATAAAATTCAGACGAGTTGCATCTATCGAACTTCAACTGCAGTATTATATAAAAAAATCTATCTTCACATGTATTATGCGAAGATTACATAGCATTAAACGAAGACGTTTGACCTTTTGCTTCGAAGGTCGTAGAAATGTTAATCCAGCGCAACTAATATTCCGCCCTTCTGATATCGAGGGGATGAATCTAAATCGATAAAACAGATATCAACTGACTACGCGTTTCACGAAAAATTTCTACTTATAATTTATAATATATACGATGAAAGAATAATTTTACATTTTATAATGCAAAATTGCTTACATATTTTATTTATTAAGTTCTCCATATAAATGCGATTATAAAATAAAGGTAACGAATTTTGTATTTGACGAATGAACACTGGAATCGACATTATTTTAATCTACGCTAAGTATCAAGTAAATAAATATAATTAAAATTATATTATAATTATTAATTTATCAGGTTAATAAAAAAATATATACATCATTTTTTCTGATTTTAAGTTCAAGTAAGTTAAATGCCGAATGTTATCCACAAATCTGTGCATCTAAAAATGCTGTACACTAAATTACTTTAAAAAGATAATTGTTGACAAAAATAAATTATTCTTCAATATTTAATATACAAAATAAACAGCAACAATTTATAAATCCGAAATAGAGATTATCGATCTCTGTTGTGTTTTTGTAACATTTAGATAGTAATATCTCGACGTTTCAGAAATTTTACGATTCACCCTCGCAATCAAGGATGAGATTAGTTTATGAACTGAGGGTCGTTTCACTCTGGCATTTCATGGATAGAAGAAAATTCCACCCTCATAAAAAGTGATATACCACGGCGCAAGCTCCGTGCGAGAGAACTCGCGAGTCGCACGACTAGACTGGCAGACTTGTTTTCAAACAGTCGTCGGAGTTAGTCGGTTGCATGGCTATCTCTCGCGTATTCACGTTTGCGAATCTCTTCTTCGAGATGAAAAGATTGTGTCGATATAATGATAATTTTGTAAATTACGGACGAAAATGATCGTGGGATCATTGTGCAACATTAATGATTTAACGAAGGACGCGTGCCGATCGCGTATATGTGCGAAATTAATTCTCGTGATTAAATAACGTGGTTTCTTCGTAATCAAATCACTTGTGCAAATATAATTAATAATAAAGTGCAATTTTAAAGTGAAATATGAAATGGGAACAATAAAGACGATGAAAGTGATTGCATCGATAGTGAATCGCAAGAAAAATGTAAAGAAGTTGCGGCTCTTTCAATTATGTATATGATCTGAAAAATTGATGTCAAAACGTTGAAATGCAAGAAATTTTTTAGAAAACTTTACGAAGATGCTATTATAACGAATACAATTATTATATTATGAGGATTTCAGAATTCGCAAAATATATATCGTCGAATTTCTGTAATTATTTTCTTCTTGAAGAAAGCACAGTTATTTACATTAGCAAAATTCATTTACAAATTCAGTGATCGGGCGAAAAAAATCATCTAAAAGAGTAC